TGGCTTCTGCTTTGGCAGCGGGGCTGAAACAGAGACTTTCTACAATCTGGATATAATCAATACCTCAGATTCCAACATCCCAGCAGGCAGATTTCACTTTAAACCCCCTGCTGCTCCTGCCTGCAGCACAAGTGGCACACCGCTCCCTCTCGCAGGAGATTTCTGTGCTCGCAGTGCTGACACAGGATAAAGTTATCAGCTGATCAGTGTTTAGAAATGGTTTTCCCTTTTTTTTCCCCCTCCTTTCACCCTCCAGTGGAATAAATAATTGAAAAGAAACACAATCGTTTCTCTTGTTTGCACTAACACCGAAAAGCAATCGCTGGCTGCAAATAACAAGAAAAATCGAGATTTCAATTAGCAAACCCCTGAGTTAATGGCTCGTATATTGGAAACAAATCACATTTTTATCAGACACAGTGAACTTAGGCTAATAAAAAGAAGTAAGAGGCTTCGTTTCATAGGCTTGTGTGCTTAGAGTCAAATCAAAACCTTTTTACATCCATGCCCATTGCAAGGGACTCAACATTGGTCATGATCCTGTCCTTATTTCCTGGCTAATTACAGAGTTTCCCTAAAAAAAAAAAAAAACAGGGTGAACTTTATCTCTGCTTTGTGGTCAGTCCAGGGCAGGGGAGCAAAGCACAGAAATGCATTTAATTGCCCAAAATCCCAGATAGTGACGTGACAGGGAGTCACTCAGAAATCTTCAACTCCATCCCCATCCCTCAGCAGCATTCAGGGCATGTCTAATTAATATTTTAATTGACCCAACCAACAGTTAAAGGTGAAACACTGACACCACCCACCTGCAACTCCAGCCCCTGAAACAAAAATCCAGTTATTTCTGTCAGAATTCATCCAGTTGTGTTGGTGCCAGAGGCTGGGGTGGCTGCTGAGCACTGGGTCCTTGGTACCTGATTTAAATTAATTAACACCCACCTGACTGATAATTCTCTGGCTGGTCCTGGGAGTGAATAATAAATAACCAAATAAATCATGAACAACTCAGAAAATGTTTATCTGAGTTCCATTTGGCCATTTCTTGCATCATTATCTTTTCACTCCCAAAAGATACATCCCAAAGCCCCAGGTTTGCACAGCCACTGGAAGGGTTGGACATGCAGCTTCTTGTGCATTTGACACAACCCAAATTTCCCTTGATGTTACAGAGAACACAAGGAAAATTGGGCTGGAGAGGATTGATGCAATTCACGTTTTGCCTTTTGAATTTAATTTGTATTAATTTATTTCACTGCAAATACTAAAGAGTTCTGCAGTTCTGGGTGCTGCATGAAAACATCAACTCCACAAGCCTGAGCTCTGCCAGAGCTGCTGGAGTGGCAGCAATGAACATTTTGGGGAGCAGCTCATCCCCAACTCATCATTTATCCTGTTCAATGCACTGTGGGTGGGGAATTCAATCAAGATTTTTGCCAATGCAAAGCACCCACCAAACATCTGGGCAGAGAATCTGCTTTAAAACAAGCCCAGCTCGGAGCAGGGGCAGAAAGGGCTGAGGGATGGTTGATTGCTCAGCACAAGGAAATGAACTCAGGAGGGTCCTGGGCGTAATGCAACAGCCTCAATAATTCACCTGCCACCAACACGTCAGAATCCTGTTTAGCCAGGTCTCTTACACTGCATTATAACCCCCAAATTCAGTGAAATATTCATTTGATGGAAGAATATTTTAGATTTATGCCCAATATCTTCATGTTCAGGTGTTGGAAGATTTTCCAGGAATCAAACTAGCCTTGGATTCAGGTAAACCCATGTGGCCCATGCTGTTCTTGAGGAAAGCTTTTGATAACTATCTTTTAAAACATATTTCCTTCACACCTAAAAGGATCTAAATGAGTGGAGAGCATTGGGCAGAGCCTACATTTTGTTCCCACAAAAGGAAGGTATTGCAGATGGACAAATCCAGAGTGGATTTTAGATTTTTCCACCTGGATAGAAACCCAAATCAAGGGGAGACACAAAATGCTGGCTAATCCTTCCTGCTCTAATTATTCTAATTAAAAAATGAAAAACTTTCAAGTGCCAAATGAGAGTTGGCTGCTTTGGCCATGTAGTGGTGAGGGCCACTAAAAATTCTCTGTTTCAGAATAAGAGGAGCCCTGGTGCAAAGGGGAAGCTGAGATAGACAGAAAGTGTCTTTAACCTTAAGTCTCACCCTCAGCTCCTAATTCCTCCCAGCCCATAATACTCTTTCCATTTTAGTAATGCAAGCTTTCCATTTAATTGCTGCTGTGGTCATTCGTAGAGTTTGACACCTGCTTTGCAAAGCATGGATGGGCTCAACTTTCGTGCTATCCCTCTTTCCTGGTGGGGTTTTACCAAAATTATCACTCACAAGGTGCAGAATGTGGCAGTTTCACCTCTCAGTCTCATTAGCTGATACTTTCAGGGTGGCCCCATGCAGCCCCACATCTGTTGTGGGCTGAAAAGCTTTTTTATTCACTTTAAAAGCGTTTGGGAAGGGATTTGCAGAGGTGTGAATTCACATTTCTTGGTGGTAAAGGGAATCTGAGCGGCTCAGTCCCTGCCAGTGACTGCAGCAGCAGCTGAGCACCCAAAAAACTTGGACACTGGCAAAACCAGCACCTGAGCAGGAGATTCCTGCAGGATTGGAATTAATTAGGCTGGGAAAGACCTTTGAGGTCATCAAGCCCAAGCGAGATGCAGAACACAAACCGTTGGTACGGAAGGTCCATTGGGGTGGGTTTGAAAAATTCCCTGCGGAGGTAACAGAGCAAGCCAAGGGGAAATGGCTGGTGCTGCCCATGAATTTCCCATCCCTGAGGGGCTGCTGGGAGCAGCAGAATCCTGGGGAACCCCGAGCAGTCACGGCTCCTGGGCCGTGGGAGGAGAGGCTTTCGGGCTGAGCCACCCTCGGGGGCTGTGGGTGGAAAGCCAGGGCCCCAGTCCTGCAGGGAGTCACTGTGCCCTTGAAATAGAGATTTTCGGAGTTCATTTGAGCCAACAAAATGAATGTGTCGTGAAAGAAACCTCTGCCATGGGACAAGGGGCAGAGGGAAATGGAAATCTTTGGAGCTTCCTGCAGAAAAGACAATACCAGGGAAGACCAGGGGATGCAAAGGACACAGTTAAGGAGACCCCTCTGTCCCCAATCATGTCAAGGCTGACAGACATACTCAGATAAGACACCAAAGGACCAAAAGCGCCTGTGCAGAGGGGAAAAGTTCCAAAGTTCAACCCAGAGGAAGACCACGATCTTCAGCCTCAGAAGACCACCAGAGACCCCCGCTGGACCACCACAGCAAACCAGGCATGTCCAGGAGGGCGTGGAGCTATTCAGCATGAGAGGGGAGGACAGGCGGGGCCAGGGGTTGGATATGCACAGAAAAGTTGTGGAATGAACTGAATATGGAACAGCTTTGGGAATAAAGGTGTGGGACAGAGGGCAGCTCGGGGCACAAGGTTTTGGAGAGAGATCTCACTTGTGCCAGGTGCTGACATCCATACCCACTCCAGAACCACATCCAGTTGTGGAGTCTATTTATTTAGTCCGCTTATCGCTTCACCGTGACCTGGGGAACATTCCCAGGGGACAGCCAGGCTCTGCCACGGCAGCAAAGTGTCCCAGCTTCCCCCATGTTCCTGCAGAAATGACCCTGAAGGAGCAGGAAACCACCCTGAGGAATTCCCTCAGGTGAGGTCACACCTGCTGCTGGAGGGATTTCTTGTGTCCCTTCTGGGTTTTCACAGAATATTCTCAGGATCATCCACACTGCAGTGAATGGCCCGTGCAGGGGCTGAACCCAAAATCTTGGTGTTGTCAGCACCAAATGAGTCAAATCTCAGGGTTTCAGTTTGGAAAGTTCCCAGGTCACCTGAGCAGCCTGTGCATCGATTTCTGCTCCAGAGCAAGGCCACGGGTGGGTGGGGACATCGTGGGGACACAGGGGAAAGGTCCCAGCTGGTCACACTGACAGCAAACAGAGGTGACACCAAACTGGGAACCCCAGCTCCCCCTGAAAGCTGCGGGATCTGCCCCTGGATCTGCTCAGGGCTCACCCAGGACACCCCTCCTGCCTGCCCTCAAAGCCAGAAATGCCCTGGAAAAGCAGCAGCATCCACCAGATTCCCAACAGCTCCATGCTGGAAAAGGGAATTCTGACAAAACCTCAAAAGGAGGGAGATTCGAGGATTAACAAGGGGACACTGGCCAGGAGCTGTCTACAAATTCTCATCAGGGAGTGACTGACCTAACTGGATTTGTAATTCCTGCAAGTGTCAAAGGAAAAAAGCAAAATAAAAACATCAATTCAGTTCCCAGTTTCCCCCTACCCACAGCATTATTGTTAGCATTGCTTTGTCGCTGCAGGAATTAAAAAAAACCAACCCAAATAAACCATTCAGGGACTTCTGAGTTGAAAGATTAAAATCAGGATTTGCATGGAATCATCTTGCAGTTTTTTCCACGTCTTCTCCTGAAAACTGCTCAAGGTGAAGGGGGAAATACAAACAAAACTTCCTAAATACACATTTGAGCTTCCAAAATGTTCAGCTGAAGAAAAAAAAAAGAAGGCAGGAAAAAAAATAGAGGAAATGGATTTCAAAGCTCACCAAGGCACATGGGTGGTTTACTACACGCAGCAGAACAACCTACAAGCTGAGATAAATAGATGAGTAATGTCAGATAAGTCACTAGCAAGGGTTTAAGAAATTAATTTTTCCACTCAGGTGTGTTGTACCATTCTATGTTAATGGAACAGCAGGGTGAGAGGCAAAGGGTGGCAGCACAGGTGCCAAAATGAGCATCTCCTCCTGATGACAAGTGAGATATGGTGGTGATAAGAGTGAGAATGAAAACCTTGCAAGAAGCAAACACCTACCTGGAGCAGGATCAGTAAACTACTCCAGCAAAGGTGGGCCCAGAGGAGCGAAATTATCTTGAAAACAAGAAAACTGATTTCCTGTAAAGTCATAACTGTATTGCCCTCAACTGCTTTGTTCCTTATCTTTTTTAATTAGCTGTAAGAAGTACATATCAAAAGAAAAAAAAAAAAAAAAGGGGGCACAGAAATAAGATTTCTCACAGGTTTCACTTTTCAGAAGGAAAATTTTCTGCTACGTAACCACCGTAACCTTTGATATAATACCTGCATCCTGTTATTGTTTTTATGAATCATAGTCTTCCACTTGATTCATAGTGATGAAAGCCAACAAAGCAGCCCCGAGCTCATATCCCTGCTGGAAAATGAGCATCACACCTCAGCACTGGCCTCCCTCGAGCCATCCCTGAGCATCCCCTCCCCTGCCACTCTCTGCTGCCTTATCCCTCCCAACCCTCAGCTGCCACCAGAGGTAGGAGAAGCAAAGCAGAGCTCACTTACATTTTTGCCAGTGCATTCTGTGCTGGGATGGAGCTTCTTCCTCCCTTCTTGGCTGAGGAGAACTGGGCTCTGTGTGCCTGTGTGTGGCTCCTGGGTGGGGATGTGACAAGTGAGGGTCAGGATGTTTCTTTCAGCTTTTTAAAAGCGCCGTGTTCCCACTGAGCCCGGTGACATCATCACCCCTCCAACCACAGCCACTGTGCGCTTTCCCTTTGCTCTGCTGCTTCTTCTTCTTCTTCTTCTTCTTCTTCTTCTTCTTCTTCTCCTCCTTCTCCTTCCCCACGCTCAGCAGCTCCTCTGAAGAGATGTCCTGCATAAAAAGTTGTCACCGAGATGGGTTTGAAACATCAAAGGTGGAACCTGCCTCTCCTGAGATTTTCACCACAAATTTGCAAACTCAGGGCAAAAGGTTGGGCAGCAGCAAAGGGGTTTTAGGAAGATTTTGACCTCTTGGGGCAGTGAAGGTTGATTTTTCTCACGTTCTGCTGCTCTGGGGGGCACAATTCTTGTCTTCACACGGCCAAACCAGCCGCCAGGCCATGCCAGCCTGGCTCTTTAAATGTGCCACCCCTCTAAAACCCAGAATTTAATGCTTGCTCCTGCCTTATGAGAATCTCAACTCCCCGGGGCCACTAAATTTGAACTTGTGAGGAAACACCTGTAAACACTTCAAGCCCCATTAAGTCAGGGCGTCCTTAATTTAAAAAAGAAACCCCTTTTTTTTCTGTTTTGTTTTTTGTCAAAATACAACACTTCCTACCCAGGGAGAAGCAGCCCTTCCAGAAGAGCCTGCAAAGCTGGAGGAAGGCCATGGGAGCCTGGAGAACTTCTTGGCATTAATGACAGCACCATTCCATCCACACCATGAGCACAACCCTCTTCCCTCTAAAAATCAGTCCCCTGGGATCAATTTTCACAATTCACACTGACTTAGGAGCTTCATTCCCAGAGAAATCTTTGTTGGAGTTGCACAGTGAGGTCAGGATCTTGTCAGTCCCATGTTGCTGTTCAGTTTTTAATCATTGAGTTACCCCAAAAATTTGCTCACCCAAATTTCTCTTCCCATTAAAAAATCAAGGCAGGATCTGGTGGAGGTTTTTTTTGCCAGAATTCTGCTAAAGGAATTTTATGCTTTCAGGTGTTTCAGGCACCTCTTGGGAACAGATCCATTCTGTGACTGCATTTAGTGGGGAAACACAGATTAATGAGATGAATATTTTAACTGCACTCACTCTACTTCAAAGAGTTGTCCAAAAACCAAAAAAAAAAAGAAGCAAACCCCAGAGCAAGTGGAGTGGAAAGAATGAAGGGATGTGCATGTCTGCCCTCCAGAGCAGCCCCGACCTCCTCTGTTCTCAGGCACGAGGGCATTGTTCAGCCACATTTTGCATATCTGAATTACTGCTGAGTACCACGCTGGGACATCCTCCCTGCTGCTGAAGTGCTTAGTAACAGCTGATTCTGCAAAACCAGACAGCCAGGCTGGGCTGGAGCTCCCAGTGGAGCCAGGAAAGGTTGGTTCCACCGGAATTTCAGCCACTCCAGGGCACAAAGGAACTGTGGGCCCTGCTAGCTGTGAGATATCCGTGTTGTGTCTCTTCCTAACTTAATGAAACTTCATTTCAGGGCCCTCCTAGCTGTGAGAGATCCGTGTTGTGTTTCTCCCTAACCTAATGAAACTCCGTTTCAGAAACCTCCTGCACGTGCAGAATTAAGATAGTGCAGCAGCACAATCTCTTCCTGACAAATCCAAGCTGAAAGCCAGAGTTCCCTGGTTTTGCTGGAAGCCTGGAGGACAGGGCAATGCCAGGGGAAGTTCTGGAGTTTGGCTGGAGGAAAAGCAGCATTTAAGGGGGGTTTGAAGTGCTCTCTGCCGAAATTTTCCTGTGGAAAGCCCTGGATTCTGACAGCACAGAGCCACTGGGGCAGAGCAAAGCCCAGGATGGAAACCTGGCCACAGATGCAAGAATATCTTTGTCCCTTTTTGCTTTTCTTGCTCCCCTGTAGCAGTGCTGCATTACAGGTTTTCAGTGAAGCCCTTTGTGTCTGGCTGGTTGCAGGGGCTGTGTGGGGAGAAGATCTCATTGGCAATGTCTGTCAGCCCTGAGCTTTCTGCTCCTGGGATATTCACTGCTAGGCACAATGAAATCACCCATTAGTGGGGTCTGACCAAATGGAATTGCTCATTCTCAGGTACATTTATTGCTTTTCTATTTACCAGATCATTTTATTTTCCAGAGCCTGAAATGAAGGGCTCAGGCAGGACTCTGGGCTGGTTTTTCACCCTGAGAACTCTCTCTGTGCACATTTGGGCTCTGCACACAGCGGGGCTGGAGTGCAGCTGAAGGCAGATTGCTTCACAGCCCAAAGTAAATATACAGACTCATATTAAAAGAATCTATATGTGCTTATCATCCTGCCCTTAACTGTGCTTTAATTGAGCTTAGAAAAGCTGTGGGCAAGATGAAATAACTCAGGATTAAACAGGTTTTGAGGTCTTTACATCGATACTTTAAAAATACAAAGCCAGGCAGATAAAGTCTTATTGTAATAAACATCTAAAATGAGGAAGTTGCAGAAAAGGGGCATGTTTTCCTCAGATAAAACTGTTTTGGTGGCTGATAATAATCCATTTCCATATTTTACACATGGTTTTTAGATTAACTTTTGATGTGCTTAACAAAGAATCGCTCTCCAAAAAGTAACTTCAATTGTACATTAAGATATAAAAGGCCACATCACCCCACACCAAGCAAAGTAAAAATATGAATTTTTCCTCATTTAATGCATTTTAGAAATGCAATTTAGATAGGGACCATTCATTTATGAGGTGCAAAGGAAGAGACAAAAGCAGAGACAAAGATCAGAAACATCATATTCACCTCTTCCTCTGAAAACTCTGTAATTCATTATTCAGGTTTATAAATGTGAATGTGAATGATTATAAACGATCAGCTTTAGGTCTGTAAATAAGTCTGGAGCCTCAAAACTGTTGCAGACCATCCATCCTTCCCCTTTTTTCATGGCAAACCCTTCCTCCACCCCCCATCCCTCCTGCACTGCTCCTCCTCAGCCCAGCAGTGCAGGTGAAGGGTGAAGGGATGGAAATAAAGCAGATTTTTGGTGATCTCGCAGCTCAGCTCTTTGCAAAAAACGGGTTTATCCTCTGAGCTGATGCTGCTCTTAAGGGGAACTAAAACCAAGAGCTGGCTCTGCTTGGTCTGGTCCAGCCCTGCAAGAATTTTGGGTGACAAACAGAAATATCCCAATGATTTTCTACCAGTCTGAACCTGAGCTTTAATTCACTCCCTCAGCTCTTTGGTGTTGTCTGACCAGCCCAGCTCCAGGGAATCAGAGATTTTCTCCCCAGACTGGATTAATGCTGTTGACAGAAGTGTTGGGTTTTGTTGTTGTTGTGGGGTGTGGGGTTTATTTTCCTTTGTTTTTAAACAAGTCAATATTAGCATTTCAATCCTTACGAGAGGTAGGAATATATAAGGAGTAGTTTGATATTTCAGAAAGCTTTGTGGTCTGCAAACACAAACATTTACCTTGAGAACACAAAAATTAATAAGTGGATCTTTGTTAGAGTTTAGAGGACAACCGTGCCTAGGAAAGGTTCTCATACTCCTTTCCTAATCAAGAGGGAAAATAGAGGAAATGGAAATCTGAGTCTCATTTAAGGCAACCAAATCTGACATAAGGCTGGGCAAGATTTGTTATTTCAGATCACAAATTCTACAATCTGCGCCTTGACTTTGTAGCTTGATACTGAAAGGGAAAATATTGCAGGAAGCCACCCAGAACCAGAGCTCAGAGGGGCTGGACGTGTTCCAGCCAGCTGATTTAGGAACATCTCACCTGGAGAACTCCCTGAGCTCTGGGCCACCCCAATCCCACCCCTCAGCCCTTTTTGCAGTAAAGCAGCAAAGCTCCTCACTCTGGGATGGATGAGGTGATCAGACAACAAAAGAGCTTTGCTCAAAGTCACAAAAAAGATCTGTACTAAGCCCAGAAGCAGAGGCCAAATTTTGGGGACAGCCCTGTGAGCAAGGTCCTGCTGTTCCTGTGCTTCCCAAGAAGTGCATCACCCTTTTTTTTTCAGTCCCATAATTAACATTGAAACGAGCGTGGTGCAACAAACTGAGTTTTCTTGGGTTTTTTTCTTCTTCTTCTTTCGTTTTTTAATATCGATATCAGCCTCACACCTCCCACTGCGCCCTCTGAAGCGAGTTCTGATTCATTCCTCAGCTTTGATAAGGAACAAATGATGCAGCCCTGGTGTGTGCTCAGCACTGGAGACGAAGTCCCTGGGCAGAATAAACCACCAGAACCCTTGCAGGCAGCCAGGACCTGACCCTGGCCTGTCCCAGCTCCTCTCCAGGGTTATTACATGGATCTTTTCACACAATAAATTATCCTTTACATCAGGCACAAAGGAAATAATATGAATATTTAAGGGGGAAACCCTTCAGAACTCTGCCTGAGTGAAAATATTTCTAAACATCCTCAAGAAAATTCTGAGTTCTGGAGTAAAGAGAAAATAAAAAATATCCAACTCAACCATATTTTGTCTGCACTTAGCAAGGTGAGAATTCCCCATCAGCAAGTACCTGTGGGGTTTTTAACACACACCAAGTACTAGAAGAGCTTTCCCCAGGATTTTTTATCCTTAGGAAATGATCTGGTGTATTCCTGATCTCCAAGATGTGACTGCTCCACCCTCTCCAAAAAACAGATGCAGAACCACCCCAGCACTTCTTATAGATTTAAGGAGATGGACACATTTCAGAATATAGAAATATTTATGGCACTGTTTGTTGTGATCACCCCTTCCTCTCAGCTCTGCCCCTGCCTGTCCCTTCCTGCTGCTCCCACAGCCCCAGCCCAGCACGGCCTCAATGAATTCTGAAATTCCCTGAGAGGTGTCAGAACTCAAAATGTCCCTCAGACATTTTGGAGGTTCCAGGCCCTGGTCAGAAGCATTTTAGACCCTGGCAGGCAGCTGCAAACAGC